AATTCCAGTAGAGAGGTGTAAGAAATTCATTCATGGTTACAGGAAGCGATTGATTTAAGTTATTTTTTTTCAAAGGGGGTGCTACAAAATATTAAGCTAAGGGTGCTAATAATTTTGGTCAGTGCATTTTTGAGTTTCTGTGTGGGATTGCATCAGATTTGAGTTTTCTTCTCTTTGTTTTTCTGTTGTTCCAATGCAAACCAAAGAAATGAACATGTGAGTACCAAAACATTTGCAACTGCAACAATTTTCTGAGAGAAGGGTTGCGTTTTCTGACAGAATTGCAAGGGTGCCAATATTTTTGGCCATGACTGTATATGCACTCTGAACATAAGATGGTCTTAGTAAGCATTCAAAATATTGGTTGTTGTGGGTTTTTCGGGCTCTTTGGCCGTGTTCTGAAGGTTGTTCTTCCTAACGTTTTGCCAGTCTCTGTGGCCGGCATCTTTAGAGGACTGCACTCTGTCAGCACTCTGTCGTACAAGCTGTCCTGGCGAATCTGGCCCTGGTGCAAGTGGATGATCTGCCCGTTGCCCACAGTCTGAAACAATATTTTGACAGCATTCAAAATATTGTTTCAGTCTTTCTCAGAATTCTGATATAGCTTTTTGCCCAGCATCGCTGCACAAAAAGGATTGGAGAAGCTGTACATATCAAAAATTTGCCTCTTAGGACTTAGGTATTTGGTCCATTCGAGAATACGGTTCATTTTTACAAGCTTAATTCAGTTTCCTCTTCATTATACTTAGTATCTAAACTATTTAGTATCTGAACTATGAATAACCCCTTTAAGTTGAACCTTTGGCTTACCCTCATATAGAACGGACAGCTACTGAATTATAAGGACATGTTTCCAAAATTTTTTGAACCAGGGTGGAATTCCAGACTTTCTTGCAAACACTTTCCATATGTCTGATCACCAATGGCACTAAATAACAGCAGAATAACACAAGTGAATGTACTTTCATCCACTTTGAAAGTCAAGCTATATTATCTTTAATGTGTGTGTGTGTGTGTGTGTGTGTGTGTGTGTGTGTGTGTTGTGCGTTGTGCTATTGAGCTACAACTGACTCAGAGCAACCGTAATATGGTTTTCAATGTATAAGAGATATTTAAGAAGTGGTTTTACCAGCGCCATTCCCCACCCCCAGTGAGCTTCCTTGGATGAGGAGGGATTTGAATTCAGTTCTGAGTGCTGGTCCTTCACTCTGTCCGTGATATCATATTGGCGATACACCTTTAATACAGAGCACAGCTATGTCTCCTTCTTGAGATACAAAACTCTAGGAGAGGACAAAACAGTCTAGGCTCCTAGACTTCATGTTTATCATCAAGTCTCAGTTTCAAGTTCAGAGTTTTATGGGCAAGAGTGGTATCTAATGCAATTGTACTTACAGGGATTTTCAGTCCTTAGCAGGACTGATTCAGGTTTGTATAATCAACATTTGCTAACTTGAATATTGTGACTTTGCATATTATATGTATGTTTTATCTCATTTTAAGGGGTTTAAAGAGTTTTAATTAATTACTTCAATACTAATTAGAGGTATAAATGTTTTTATGCAGTAATTTATTGAGTTTTAAACTTTTTTGCCTTTTAATAATTTGTGAGCCGCCCTGGGTCTTACTTGGGAGCAAGATAGCTTTGCAATATAGTAAATAACTAAACAAGCAAACAAAATATATTTGCAAAGTGTAAAAATCTGCACCCAAAGATATCATATGTGATTCTGCAAACCCAACATATTTTTCAAATTCCATTACATTTTCAATCCCCATGGTTAAAGAATGGGTTTTAGAAATCTGAACAGTTTCAAAAGCAAGTGTGCACGTGTGGATTTATCAAAGGCAAAATATTTAAAAATCTCACTATTTTTAAAATACTAACCACTGAAATCATGCTTCCTAAAATAATTAAAAAGAAATATTTTCATTCATTAGAAACTGCTTATCACATAGATGCATATATCTGTGGATGCAGACTGAAATCAAACATCTCAGCAAACGAATAACACTGTATGATAGCAATGCACTACTGAGATACAGTACATGACAACAAGAACAAAACCAAAAGCATTATTATATTCTTTAGTTGTTAGAAGAAACTCTAAAAACCCATCACTGAACTCTGTTTTCTCAAAGCTGTCAAATGCAGACAAAAGACAGACAGGAAGCGCCACTGCTTCTATCACAGC